TAGTAGTTACAAGTTTTGAAAGTTTTGTTTAGCTTATTTCTAATATTTAAGAAATGCCAAATTTTAAATTCTTCTTTTTAGTTCTTGAATTTATTAATAGTTCCAAGTTTTTTTGTTTGTTTGTTTATTTCTAACAATTAAGAAGAGCAAAATTTTGAATCCTTTGCAAATCAAGCTATAATGATAAAAGTTAAGTATCACTATTTTCAATAAGTATATTACAATATTTCTGTATGAATGTATATCCTTCTATAGGAATACATGTATATAGTTGCAAAATCAATAGCAATCATTTACAACATTCATTTATAAAGGCAATTAAATGAAAATAATATATTGTCCGCTATATGCCAAAAATTAAAGAAAACAGTCAGTTTTTGACGGTTTTTACCAGTAAAAACACGGTTTTTTACCATTGTCATGTCAAAAACCAGTTTTTGATGGCAAAAACCCGTTTTTGACGGCATAAAACCTAACCCTGCTTTCAACAAAAAATAAGCACCTTTTAAGCACTCAAAAAATATTTTGAAGTACTATATACATTAACAAAATGCAAAATAATTTTCAAAGACTTTATGTGATCGCAATAAGATAACTAGTTTCTGACAGAGAACTGTAATTTTGTACTGGGAAAAACACTACAATTATTCCTAAAAAGTATCCTAACAAATAAATAATTCAATAATTCAGTAACAGAACAGTCACAGATTAGTTATCCAGTCAAAACCACAAATCAGTACATCCATTTTCTTAACAATGCAAAGGAAAAGTGAATGAAAGATATTCTTACAGCTAAAGGCACATTGACTGTCGTTATAAGATCATCCAAGGAACCAGATGTCATACTAGGTTCAAAGTACCACCTCTTAATTTGAAAATAGGATACTGTCCCATTTGGATGCCACGTTATGTTCACTTTCTCACGAGTCTCCCTAAAAAGAAGGGGAAAAAAAACTTTTCATCAATGGAATCGGTATTTTTCATAAAAAGACTGAATGAAATTTATTAGAGTCTGTCTGATATATTAAAATACTGAAGTTAAATATTTATACACCCTATGTTTCTGTTTTAGGTTAAATTTTTTACTAACTTTTGATTGTCTACAGAATTGGGTAGTTTGAAAGCTGCAGATGAGAGATTTCTAAAGATAATTAGCAGAAAAAATTAAAAGATAAACACAAGAGTTTTACGATAATAACTCGTTTCATTTTACAAACTATCAGGGCCCGCGCTTAGGACTTCCAATTATTAGTCAGTAAATTAGTAAAATATCAAAAGTATTAGTAAAATTTCAACAGTCTCTGACAAAGGCAAATCTTTTTTTTATGATAATTTTTTTCCCCATAGAAAACTTCAAATTAAAATACAAATTTATGATAAATTGAACTATTTTATAAAATGCAAATCCAGAGTCATTTTACAGTTGGTAGGTAGGTAGTTTATTTACTTTGCACTAGAGCTGCACAATGGTCTATTGTCGACGGTTTGGGATATTTTATGTAAATATATAGTGAAAGGATTGAAATCTGAGTGAAAGAACTTGAAATGTATCACTTGAGAGAATTGATACTTGATGGGCTTGGCTTACCCAAAATAGAATGGAAAGAACAGTTGCTAACAACTTGTGGAAACATTGCAAGTGCAACGTTTCGACAACCGATCAGGATCGAGACACTCACACTACGTCGATTGCGGGTATCCTATTTTAAATGAATCATTATAAAATTTAAACTAGTACTACTCATCTCATTTAAATAAAAATTAACAGAATTATTGCAGAAAGCTGATTTCTAACATAATTAATCATAGAAAAACCACACACATATTCTTTCCTTAAAAAATTCTGCACTATTTATCACATTTAATGACGTGGTTTTATAATTATTATTTTTAAAATGCTTAAAAAATCAAAAAAAAATCACACATTATAGAGAATTATTTGCTAAAAACAGTTTGTTTTTAAAAAAAATCAGTATTTGCAAACTATACAATTTATATTTCCAAATTTATTTCAGTTATTGTTCTTTTATATCAGAAGCGTCATTTTTAAAATAACAACCATGGAATTTTTATCCATGACGGAATGAATACGCCTTGCTTACTCTAATAACGGAAAGCCACAAGCAAGGACAAGATAATAAATAAAAAAGAGGAATTATTTCAGCTTTAACAACTGTGTTGGTTATGTGCAACATGAAATAAAAGAAAATTATAAAAATGCAGTAATTTACGACCATTAACTCTGTCATGAAATCTCCTTCTCTCAATCATTCAAAATTGATAGAAGAGTGAAATAATTCTTTTGGGCAATATTTTATTCTGTAACAGTCGTTGAACGGCCGACCCAAGCTTCGGATTTTCGAATACTCCTGTTCGACTCCGTAGCCTTGTCAATTTGAACCCAATCCAGAAGACTCCTGGATCAAGTAGTCGGAGATATTTGCCTTCGTGGAGGACTTCTTGATGGAACTAACCCGCATTAGCATTACACGGAGAAGATGACCTCGAGAACATCCCACGGTTAGTGTTACGGCAAGAGGACTAACCCATGGTTCGAATACCACTGAGGATATTTCACGTCAGAACTGTGGTCGGTGCAGGACGAAAGCGGAATTCGTATCCACCAGCTGTGGCTGGGATTTGAACCCGCAGCACTTCAATGGAAGGCAATTAATTAGGCAATTTTAAATTTAAAGTTATAATCTCTCGGAGTTTTTCAGGGCTCAAATCTTGCAATCCAAAGAACCTTATTCATAGCCTTTCCAACTGTCTAAAAATTAATTATTGCAAATATTCTATTGCGAGCATATAGCACCTAATTTAACAAAAAGGAACTTTTACATGTCAGTCAACAGTAAGCACTGGGCTTCTTCGGTTTACGAACATAAGACCCGTGTCTAAGTCCAGGTGCACCCAGTTGCTTGTAATCTCCTCTGGTTAGCCTGATGTCAAGGGAACTCTAACGCATGATGCGTCCACCACCAAGGGTATTTCACATCAGCACCGTTGTAGGTATAAGCCGAATGCGGATTCGTATGGACCAGCCATCACAGGGATTTGAACCTGGTTCACCTCATTGGTAGGCAAATGCTCTATCCCCTGAGCCATCGCGACTCAGAAGATATTGTTGAAAATGCTTGAAGGTTAACTTTGCTATAAGAATCATCTGTAACTGAGAGAGTCAACATATAACTGGTGTAAAGGGGAGTTGGTCAAACAACCCAATTCCTCAGAAGATTTAACGACATCTGATTTATCCTTGATCACCAATTCTTTTTATTAACTGCAAGAAAATCAGACTCCTCCGGTTTAACTGCACCCTTCCCCGCTTCCTCGTACCAGTGGGTCTAAAAAGCAATAGCATTTTTTATTGTCATCACTCATTAGAATCACGCAGGCCATTCATTCGATTTATTTTTATGTATTTCATAATATCGGATTGTTTATAAAACTTGTACAGTTCAAAGTTAAACCTCCTTCTCCAGTTATTGTTTCCATTTACACCACCAAGTATACTGAGCGAAATATTTCTCTCAAATATTGCCATACAATTTTCCTGCAGTTTTGTCATTGTCAAAGCTTCAGAAGCATATGTCAAGACCAGCCTGACAAGTCGTTGAGCCATTGAGTAGGTGGTCTACCTCTAGTGCGGGACCCCTGAGGGTGCTTGAAGGTGGCAATTTTTACAGGGCTATCTTCAGAGCCTCTCCATATATGGCCGAGCCATCTTAGTCGGTTGCTTCGGATTATCTGCATAATTTGAGGATGTTTATAGAGCCCATAAAGTTCAAAGTTGTACCGTGTTCGCCAACATCCCCCCTCTGGTATGGCACCAAAGATAGTTCTAAGTATCTTTCTTTCAAATGTTTCTATCGGGAGTTGGACGTCAAGGTCAGAGTTCTTAAAAAATTAAGAACTCTGTTTATCTAAAAAGAAACCTAGATTTAATAAATCTCCTCAGCACATAGACATCCTATTTGGCAGATAGAGACAGTTTTTTTATTATTTCATTTCGGGAGACATCCTGTCATCAATGGTAATAATTGATAATTAGACATAATAACGACCAAAAATGATTAGTTACAATATACAAATAAATATGATAAAAATTTCATAATATAATTACCTAAATGTATAAGGCCCAAGTTCCTGTACAAAAGGTTTTGCTTTATGCTCTAAAATGTCTTTGGTATTAGTTATATTAAAAAAATAAAATTTACTGTATATAGGTACAGGTATCACTCGCCAAAATTCATAAGGCTCAGCTTCAGGCGACAGTATAAGATTCTAAAAAAAAATTTTGTAAGATGTTAAAAAAAATTTATTAAGCATGAAACAATATCTCTAGCATTAAATTTAAATGAGCACACAAAGATCAACATTAATAAAAAATTAACAACATAACTCTTTCTTAGTTTTTTTTATTAACTAAAAGCAGGGTGCATAGCCAAATTTTGCAATAAAAATAAGCACCTTTTAAGCACTTAACAAAAGTTTTCAAGCACTAAAAAATTCACATTTAAGCAATGAAATAAAAAAGTAATCGAGCACATATAAAAAATTAATGTGCATGCGCATTTTTGCCAGCTCTTGTATTCGTTTTTTGCAGTCCATCGGGGGTTAAAAATACATTTCCCCATTTTTGATATTATTGAAAAACAAAAACTTTTTATAAACATTTTTAGCATTAAAAAAAACCCCCAAAAGAAATGGACGTAAATTGAAACAATCGGTACTTTCCTTAATCGCTGGTCCAATCTAAATGAATTCAACTTGACCCTGAACTCAGAACAAAAGTGCCCTCACCCCCTACATCAAAAAAATGGTAGAAGTAAAATAAAATGAACAAGAATAAAATTAAAATGAATTAAAAATAAAAACTTTTCATAAAGATCTGATAATCTCTATCCGAATTGGTGGACTCTGGTTTCGGTTTCATGTGTGCGCGCATGCGCAATTCACAGCGTGGGTAAGACATAAGTCGGCGTTAATGATTACGTAGCAAACTCCCCATTTTTACTGAAATCCATGGGGTCCACCAGATATCTTTGAAGGAAAAAAAATCATTCATAAAAAAAAGCACTTTTTAAAAACACCAGATGCCCCCCAAACCGAAATCCCCCCCAAAAGCCCCTATAAGTACTTTTTAAAAAGCTATGCACCCTGTTTAGATATAAAATCAAGAATTGCAATTTTTATGTCCTTAGTTATAATAATCATGAAATTTTACTACAATAATAATAATGAATTTTTATAGTAATAATAATGTAGTTATTGTTGTAGTTCTTTTACGCTGCACTAGAGCTGTGCAATGGGCTATTGGGAAACATCTCTGAGGATGATCGGAAGACATGCCATCGCAATTTAAATCCTCTGCAGAAGGGATGGCACACCCGCTTCAGTGGCCCGACGACCAGCACGCGAAGTCGAGCACTTCAAGGTAGAACAGTTTCATGAGGACCATTACAGCACAACCTTGGTCCAAACACAGACTGATACATGTGGTCACCCACCCGCACACTGGCCGCAGCCAGTGATGCTTGACTTCGGTACTCTACTGGGAACCGTATCTTACAGATCAGTCCACTGCGGGACCTAATAATACTATAATAATGAAACTGCAATAAAATTTCAATATAGTCTTTATTTGTGAACGCTTTTTATGACACTTTCTATATGCCATATCACGTCAAAGTTTTCTTAAAATAAACTTTAAAAAAATAATCCCATTATTGCTGATAGAATGAGAATTTGGAAATAAAAACATGATGTATAACTTTATCTCAGTCACATTTTATATTTTTATTCTAAATAAAACATTCATAATGTTCATTTCTTTTTCTTATATGCATAATAATACCCATTTAATTTAACAAACAAAATATATATATATATATTTGTGGAGAATTGATTAAAAAAATAAGAAAACCTATAAAAGTCAGCAGCCTAAACTTAGTCAGCAGCCTATTTCTTAAATTTTTTCCATCAAAGAGCAACTCTTAAATTGATTCAAACTGAAACACTAAATTATTTCTTGCAATTATATACTGTTTTTATAAAATACAATGATTAAATAACATTGACAATACAAGACAGCTTTACATTCGACATCATCATATGATTTGAGACGTGATCTACTTCAGCAGTCAGTGTCAAACGGAGATCTCAATTTAACAAAAGAGAGATCAGTTTCAAACTATGAAGTAATATCTGATGCTTAATCCAAGCAACCATTTATTTTTCTGTGATTTCAGAGACTATGATTTACAGGGACAGTGGAACAGGGGGGCTCCCTTACATTTTATAACTCAGCCCCTTTTGAGATTACAATTTTTCACTTAGTATAGGGGTACACAACCTGTGGGAGCTCCTGAACGCAATGAATTTTTTTATTTAAAATAATAAACATAAAATGACAGCATATTTTATAATTATTTTTTCCATTCTTCAGGGTGCATAACCAAATCTCTCAGCAAAAAATAAGCACCTTTAACAGGGTGCGTAGCGAAATTATTCAACAAAAAATAAGCACCTTTTAAGCACTTTTCACGCACGCAAAAAATATTTGTAAACACTTTAAAAAAACATCATAATTAGGCAGGGCTGAAAGTTTTTAACAATTGTCAAAAATCATCAAAATTTTGAGTCATGTAAAACGAATGTTGTTTTCATACGCTACGGACAGACCAGGGGTCTGTCTAGGTTTTTCTGAGAGGTACCTATTTTGTGAAAATTTAGACATAATTTGTGAAAAATTAAAAATTATATTTAAAAATCAACACAAAAATATGGATTTTTCGTTTCTTAAGGGATACAAAAATAAAATTTTAAGAAAAAGTATTTTGTGAAACTGCCGTTTTTCCTAAAATTGAATTTGTGAAACTACCTTACCGTTTTTCCTAAAGTTGAATTTGTGAAGGTACCGCTAAACAGTATTAAATTCGGCCTGGACAGACCCCTGCAGACAAGACGCCGAAATAGATTGCGGTTGAATTAATTGTGAAAATGTTGAATAGAACAACATGAACTGCGTCTTTTTGAATAATTTGAAGCGAAAATCAACATGAAAAGGGAAAATGAAGCACTTTTAAAAAACACCCAATGAAAAAAATACCTTTAAGGGCTTTAAAAAACTAAAATTGAAAATAAGCACCTTTAAGCACTTTTTAAAAAAGCTACGCACCCTGAACTAGTTTCTGACAAAGAACTCTTTTCTCGATTATATTAATCACCATAAAGAGAAATCGAGAGATTTTTTGCTTCGATTTCAGGGAGTGGAAAATTAAACCCTGAAATTGAGAATATCTTGCAAAATGCAGCACACTGAACCCAGCTCAGCACCTGCAGAATCCAAAGTATTTATCAAACGTATAAAATGATTGGAGTTTTTAAACACTATTGTCCGAATGTAAGCGAAAACGGATTGTGGTCGAATGAACAATGTGAAAAGCATGCTTTTGCATAATCGACAGGGCAAAGAAAAAATTAAGCACATTTTAAAAACACCCCATGAAAAAAGCACCTTTAAGGGCTTTTAAAAAACAACATTGAAAATGGGCACCTTTAAGCACTTTTTAAAAAAGGCTTTGATGTTCTTAGCATAAAGCATTTCTTTAGAACTTTATTAAATGAATCAGGTTGGGCACAATTTAAATAAAAATTAGGCATAACAGGCGCAGAGTCTATGTTCCACATCACAAAATGATTGAGGCCTATCATAACCTCTAAAACGGAAGGGAAAAACCCCATTTATGCTTGATATTTGTGAATTATGAAAATAAAAACAATTTTTCTCAATAGTAATGTAGAGTAAGATGAAGCAATTTATTTCTGCTTAATATTTTATTATTAAATAGTTTTGTTAAACTAGAAATATATATATATATATATATATATTATAGTTTTTTTTCTTTTCCCTTTCAAAAATTTCACTTCAAAATAATTCAATTCATTAAACTTCAAAAAGACAAGAAAAAAGAGAGGTTGACCTTGTTGACAAGTAAACTGTTTCTCTCGAAATTTAAGCCCCCCTTCCCCAAAAAATCATTTCAAACTAATGTGATCGAATTTGTGCTATGTTTCAGACAACTGCAATGGTAGAAAAAGGGAAATTACCGTATCGTGATCTCTGGCATAATAATCGCCAAGTCCTGGCAACTTCCAAGCATCAGCCTGCAAGAAACTTACAACAAAAAAAAACATCACAGAAAGGGACCCACTCGAAAGTTGTAACGCACGCACCCGCGGACAAACGTCTACATGTGTTTGTTTTTTTTTCTCCACAGATTTGCAAGTTTAAAATCTATTTGTCACCTTGGCGTTTGTAGTTGCAAGGTATCCGCTAAATATTAGATTTTCAAATTCATGATTTTTCATGACTCATTTCAACAATTTTTCATGACTTAACAAAGTTACTATTTTCTCGACAAAAACACAACATAAATTTAAAAAAGCATTATAATAACAAAAGCCATTTGATGTTGTCGCAACACATCACAATATAATAATATCCTCCAAAATATGGGGGATATTTCCGTATCGTTATCTTTCGCACCAACTGCAGTCGCTAAAGTACCATANAATAATAGATTAGTACACAATTGTATGTCAACACATTATTTATTAACTTAAACTGTCTGGAATTTATTATTAAAGGGTTGCGCTTGCGTAAAATTTACTATCCTGGAAATTCAGCTTTTTTGCCTTTTGGCTAATCTCATTCCTGATTATTGTTTTTTCTAAATTAAATTATTTAATTTGTAGGATTTCTTAATTTAGATTCATTCAATTAAAAATTATTTATTTGCCCTTTGATGTGTATTTAATTTTTTTCCCTTCCAATTCTTAGTATAAAACTTCTTAGTATTTTAGGTCTTCCTTTACTCATTTTTAATATGGCATGCTGGTGGTTTTCCTACAAAATAATTTGAAAAACAGAGTAAAGAAAGAGTTGAAGCAATAAAATAGCTGGGAAAAAAATACAAAAGCAAATATTTTTCTTTTTTTTTCTGCTGCAGAATTATATTCTAAAGATACATTTCTTGTTTATCAGAAAGGAAATAAATACTCCTGAATTTTCTGTTCTCATTTCGAGATTTAAAAAAAATTCGCCAATGACTGGCTTGCTTCAGGTAGAATTTTAAATTGATAAAATAAAAAATAAATAAATAACAAAAATTACGCAATTGCAGGAGTTTAAGAGATAATTCGCTCAAGAAATGATGTTTTTCTATCCTTTTTTGAAAGAACACCATAATTTTAAAAGAACCTGATAAAAACATTTTATATTTTAATAAAATAAGACTGTGAGCAGGGTTTGTTGACTTAAATCAACTAATTTTATATATATATATATATATATATATTGATTTCAAAAGTTAAACAGTATTTTCAATTATTGAAACTTTTATTATTTTCTTTTCTTAGTTATAAAATTTAGGTTTTTCAGCGACCTTTTCCTTTTTTTAAAATTGTTAAAATCATGACATTTTATGGCAAATTTTGTTCAATACCAAAATTCATGACTTTCCAGGTTCGCAGATACCTTGTAGTTAGTGCAACAGATCACGAAGTGGAAATAGCCCTGAAGAAATAGGCATAAAAATGATTAGGGGAGATTTCCGTATCATGATCTACCAAGCAAACTATAATCGCCAAGGTACCAAATAGATTTTAAACTTGATTAAAAAAATATGTAGATGTTAAAATATGTAGATTCTGTCCGGAAGTTGACAAAACTCGGCGATTATTCTGCCACAGATCACGATACAGAAATCTCCCCTCAAGTTGCGGATGACGCAACATCCCAAAAGCCATTTGACAACACATCACGTTGTTGCAACACATCACGATATAAAAATATCCTCCAAAATATGGGGGATATTTCCGTATTGTTATGTTTCGCACCAACTGCAGTCGCCAAAGTACCATATACATTTCAAACTTTCACATTTTTATAAAAAAATATGTAAATGTTTGCCTGGGGTTGTACATTTTGAGTTTGTCCATTTCTGTGATATATTTTTTTTTTTAGTTTCTCGCAGACCACCATCCGGACGTTGCCAAGACATGGCGAATATTCTGCCACAGACTAGGATACAAAACAAGCTTTCAGTAATCTATACAGTTAAAATTAACAACACTTACAAAAATTCTAATTTTAAGAATAAATAGTTAAATTAAATATTAACAGGAATTAATGCCATTTAAAATATTTTATGCTTCACTGAAATCTAACATAAGTATATAAATGAAAGTTTTAAATTGAAATGGATCAATATATGTCTAGTATTCTTTGGTGTAAATTGTGCTTTTTTATTTAAATGTTTAAAAAAATGTTCGATTACAAGAAGCAAAAAAATTAATAATTTCCGTTAAAGAGGAATTCAATCAATAAAATAACTATTTAAAAATGAGATTTCGAACATATATTACACCGAAAATTGCCCACATTCGGAAATAATGAAATTTGAAGAATGTAAACAAACACCCTCCATTGTAAACAAAACAAAAGCACATGATAAATCACTTCCGCCCTAGATGTTCATCATGCGGATATATTTTCACCAAATATTGATACTCACTTCTTCTACTTGCCATTTTAAAATACGAGGGAACATAATATAGGAAAGTAAACCCATGACAGCCATGAGAATTCCCACAGCAACAAGAATAACAGTTTTCGAAACTCTTGAAAGAGCCATTACAAAATCGTGATCGCTGCACAGCGATTTTAGTCTTTAAAACATTGTTACATTCTGGACAACACAATGGAATGTTTAATTGAGGTAAACTCCAAAACTAAAAAGATCGAGCACTTTTCAAGGATAGGCACACTTTACGAAAATCATCATTAATAGGCATTTAAGCAGATAAGCTACCATCTAGCGCGGCTATTGGCCTTGCGATTATTTACAAAAGGTCTCGTGTGTTATGTTAGTCATAAGAAAGAACTGCTATTCCCTACAGTTCCTCGCATTTCGTCGCCAAATCGAGAATCAATCCTCATATTTCCACGAGTTTCGCCAATAGATTGGACGTCACGTGATCAGTTGGGAGCTTTGTTCTCTCTAGACCTTTTCTTAGTAATAAATAAAACGAAATCGTTTTATTTTTAAAAGGCTCTTTTTTGTTTGGGTTATTAAGAGTTTCTCGATTTAATTCAGAGACTCTTCAGGGAAATAAAAATAGATACAAAAGATTAAATTTTTTTTATTACAAATAATTCAACTTATTTTAACGCGANAAACGTTTTATTTTTAAAAGGCTGTTTTTTGTTTGGGTTATTAAGAGTTTCTCAATTTAATTCAGAGACTCTTCAGGGAAATAAAAATAGATACAAAAGATTAAATTTTTCTTATTATAAATAATTCAACTTATTTTAACGCGATGATTATCTTTCTCTTCTTCTTTTTTTTCCTTTTTTGTTTTTCTTCTGAGTTATATATTCACGGTTACATTAAAATCTAACAATCAATATTGTAAAATTATTTATACTCCAGAAAAAAAATTAGTTTCATTGTAAATTTCAAGCAAAACAAAATTGAAAAAAGCGAGAATTTGAATAACTTTATGCTACTAGTTAAGGAAGAAAAAGAAAAAAAAAGAAGAAGAAAAACAGAAAACTTATGATAATTTTGTTAATTAAAAAAAATGATCACATGATGAATTGGGGTCACAGTACCCAAAAATTGACCAAAAAATTTTTTTATTGCTTATAGTAAAACTTCAAACTATTTCAAATGCACTGAAAAAAAAACTTCTCTCTATCTATATTTTTAAAAAGTTATGAATGATTTTAGAATGTTCTAATACTGAAACTTGCTCAGCAGACAAACTTTAAAGTGCTTTTTCTCATAGATGATAATTTCGGGTTTTAATCTTAATTAAATTCCTAAAGAATTTTTTCTATTTAAGATAAAGCTTTGAAGTAAACTTTTTCACCTTAAGTATAATACACTTATTTAAACTGTGCATGGAATAAGCATTTTATGAGGTATTACAATTTTTACATCATGTTATATATACCTAACAATAATTTTTACCCTTTTTTTCTACTTTTTTACAAAATAATCTATAAAAAATATTCTAATTGATATATCAACAAATGAATGCACAAAATTGTTTAGATGAATATTGTAAGCACTAAGAAAAAAAATTTTTGAAAATATGTAAAAATAAAGNGCAGAGGATCAAAATTGTGATGGCATGTCTTCGGATCATCCTCAGGGATGTTTCCCAGACCGTCGCCAATAGCCCATTGTGCAGCTCTAGTGCGACGTAAATCAACAACAACAACAACAACAACAACAACAACAATAGCATTTAAGTTTAAAAAAAAAAAAATCACTTATAAAAGTCATACAGTATTTAAGTACGGTATGAGCACAAAAAAAAAATTATTTAAATACGTAACTTACACGTTTAATATAAGATAGCAGAGCGATTAATTCAAAGTGATTTAATAAAAAAACAACATTTACCATCCCTGGCCAAATTGGGTATAATATGAAAAAAACACAACTACTTCGATTTAGTAGGAACAACATATGACGCAATGCTAAACGAATGGAATTTAGTTGTTGTTTATTTAGTTATTGTTATTAGTAGTTGTTGTTATTTGTTTTAGTTGTTGTTGTTTATTTAGTTGTATTTAGTTTCAATAACTTTTCTTTATAATGCAATAAAATCTGGCGAGCAGCTATTTAAACGATCGAACACTTCGTTTGTTTATTTGTGGCTTGAAGTTAGGCTCGCAGAAAATGCCGTTCATGGGTTAAATTTAGTAGGAACAACACAACCTGTGACGTAGGCTATATTATACCCAATTATTCGACTCACAATGAGATTTTATGTAATATCTTAATTACATATCAGCTATTACTATACTGCCTTATTGTTTTTATGTCACTGAAATCGATTTGCACTTGTTTATGTTCCTGTATCTATGGGTTAACATTGTCATGCAATACGTTAAAAATAAATACAAATGGGAAGTATCATAAAGAATCTCCCGTATTAAAACCCATTACATGTTTGTTTAAATATTAAAGTATTACCTATAAACTCGTGCAAAACATGTGATTATTAAAACACTACAGTGTGTCGAAT